TTAAAGGAGCAGCTATGAGCCAACACGAGAGATCGACACCGACAACAGGATTGTGAGGACCACCTGCAGGAAACTTATCATTAAGGCGGGTGCAAATCGACTTGACTGTGAGTGTAAAGCCTTGTGATGGACGACAATATGCAGCATCATCTTTGACACCCATTTCAATGTGATATCTTGGGCTTCTTTCTGTACATCCAGGTTGTGAAATGAACGTGCAAATGACACATGGCTTATTGGACGGTCCGTTGGTTGGTATATTAAGTCATTTTATTATGATTGCTAGCATAGTAAAGACTTGGAAGGCAAGTTGACATTATAGCAATGTATTGTTGTGTGGTGGAAAAGTCAAGAATTTTTCCAAAAATTGGCATTTTTCCTGTGGGGTTGCCAAAGCGGCCAGCACACGAGCCTTATTTGGTTTTCAACATTTGCGGCTTGCACTTTTTATGACTGCAAATCCAACATTTGTCTGTCCTGACCATGAATCATACTAAACTGTTTCAGCAAATGGTTCAACTCCTTGCCATTGAGGTTACCAGAACGTCTTCCATAAGCTTTTCCAATAGGGAAGAGCCATGGAAAGGTACACGCCAGCATCGTCATCATCTGGCAAGAACTCATTGATTGGGTCTTGGCGTCAATGCGATATGACAAAAGAGTTGTTATGCCTGTCTCTTCCTTCTGATTCATGTTCTCCAAACCATCCCCGTACAAAGCGTCTGACTCCATTTGATGCTGGCTCACAGTCCTGCTTTCATCAAGACTTTTCATCATGTTTTGAATAGCATCATTCTCAACTTGCTTGCGGATGCTCTCCGTTTGCAGCAAGGTATCTAGTGATGGACTGACATAATGCGTCTTAAGAGGGAGATCCTCATTGCTACTTGGATGGCTGGAACCCTCAATTTGTGATGTCGATGCTCCTCCAAAGTAATCATGGTGATTATCTGACATGGAGTCCACCTGATGGACACCACCAACATCAGAGCCAAGATGTTTTTCATGCAGAAGACTCTGCTTGTCACTGATGAATATTGGATTGTCCTTCTTCTCCCTGACACTCTGCTCAACTTTTTCAACCAAGTTATCAATTGTATCCTGTCTGATATGGCTATAGTATGGACTCAACCGGCCAGACTGCAAACCATTGTTGTAGTACGCTGCTACAATTGTATAGCTTGGATGTTCCGTAAGCTTTCCAAGCCAACGTATCGTCTCTGCCTTTTTCATTGTAGAAGTGAACCTTCATAATATTGTCAAGGTCCTCCTTAGAAACCAAAACATGATTGACCTTCTCAACAGAATCATGAGAGAAAATAATTTGGTTCCCTCTCATGGATGTTAGAATAAAGCAAAATGTGCTCTATCGTGAGTGCCTTTAGCGCTCAGAACAAACTCTCTGCAATCTAAATTTGTAATCGACAGTACAACACTTTCACAACAATAGTTCTCCTGTGTTAGGTATACTTTGAGTGAAATTGTTCCTATTTGATTAATGTTTGGCTTGAATTGATGATTCAAGCACAGCCAAAAGTGAGCTCAACGATTTTCCCTTGGAAAATCCCTTGTTTACAGAACTCGATTCAACTTCTACGAGGATTCTGTGTTGAATACAGTACTTTGGGACATCTTGTATTATTCCCTACTGCATTGTACACAACATCGATATTCCACTTGTATAGGGTCTTTCCCTTTTTGTGTGGATACAGATTGTCCGACAGACTTGCGTCCGGCAGACTTGCGTCGAATCCCGACATCACGATCAAAGTCCGATCGCGTGTGTCGAAAACTTTGTACTTGAATAGTTTCTTTTGGAACGTAAAAACTCATATTTCGCCATATCCCAACATCCAACCTTGACTGGGACCAAACTCTATTGGACCCACACAGTGGCGATCTTGGCCGTAGTGTCTCTGCCAACAGCGCTAGCCACAGCTTGCTCCTTCAGTTGCCGGAAGCGAGCATGGGGAGTGATTCTGATGCTCTTCTTCCTGAACAAGATGAGACTGACGAGTACCCAATGGATTTGGTGAATGGGGAGCAACAGTGTGTGATGTCTGATAAGTTGGCTGTCGCACCGGCTACCAAACGTCCACCGCCTACACCTCAACAAGAAGCCAAACAACACAAGTTCACGTTTTATGGAGTAAAATATAGATCAGTTAATAACCATAATATTATCTATTCTATTCAGAAAGCCAACACTCGTAAACATCTAGCTTTAATTGATAGAGGTGCCAACGGCGGCATTGCTGGAGACGATGCCCGCATCATCATTGCCATCATACGCCAACAAGCCTACGTTGGAAAGGGCCAATCCATTCTGTCCAACGGACAAATGGAACATTTCAAGATCGTCATGGACGACAAGTCTACCAAAGTTGGTGGTCAACAGCGCTTGACAACACCAGATGGCTTCGTCTTACCACTTGACATCAGCAATGGCCTCCCATATCTGCGAATGCGCCCACCAACGGAATGTGAGCTGAGTAATCCCAACATCCCACATGTCGTACTCACCTATGACACTGATTGGGATCCATGTGTACTGGATCATTTGGTCGACGATATGGAAGAATGGGCAAAGTCCATTCCCGACCATGAATGGGCAAACCCCGTTCCCAACTGCGATCCTGAGGATGAAGAACGCCTGTTTGATCTTGTAGGAGTTCTTGAGAATAATAAAGCTGTTACTTCTTTTAAGGATTCTAAACTAGATGAAACTACTGATTTCTTTGAGAACTTCAATTGTGTTCTTCCAACTGATGGACTGTTCGAACAGCACCATCGAGCGTTCGACAACCTCACATGGTTCGACTGCAACATGATCGACCTATTTGGCTTTGACGCAGCACCAGAAGATTCACCCATCCCAGAGTGTTTCAAGGTCTACAAAGCTCGTAAGCCCCCTTCAATACTGTTCAGCCCAGGCCAATCGGTCAACTATGATATTGAGTCAGCTCCTTTGAAAGACAGCTCTTTCAAGGACCTCATCCTTGATTTGGGCAAATCGACTAGGAAGACACCTCATGGGGAGTTGGATTGTCGTCCACCGCCAAGAGTACATTTCGATGATACTCTGACTGTCCACGAGAGTACTAGTTGAATCCTAACTATTATAGAGAAGTCTGCTCTAGAAGATGCTGTTGCTTTCTTTACTTACTTTGTACTGGAAGACGACTTGCTCCAGCAGTTGCTGGAAGCAAGCATGGGGAGAGATGATGCTACTAGTGCTCTTCCTCCTGTACATGATGGGAACAAGTCAGATAGAGAGCCCGACCAAACAATAGATGAGATAGCCACTAACAAATCTATTTTAGTTTGTACTCTTGGGATCCTTGAAGCTACTCTAGACTGTACTCTTGACTCCCTTGGGCCACTTGACTTTGATCTGATCGATCGTGGATTGAGCACCGCTAACATTCCAAATGCCACGCTCGTTCCTAAGCATTGTACTGATCATGACCAAAACGTATTGGACTCCACGGCTATTGGAACTGGAGAAGCTAAGCCGACATTCAATCAAGTAGACAGTCATAATTGTAATAGAGCCTTACTCTTTACTACTATGAACGGACATTCTGCTTTAGATTGTGCAATCAACTTCTTCCAATCCTTTGCCTATGCGAATCCAATAGATGGACTCCATGAAGTCCATCGTCCACCAACTTCTGATTTAGCTAGACTTGAACGTAGCATGGAAGATCCTATCAACCTGGATCGCACCGGTGCAACTCAAGTCGCAATGCCAGAGCTTGAGATCTATCAGTCTCACAAGCAACCCTTAACTCAAGAGGCGCGCTTTGAACTGGTGTTGTATCAATCTCACAAGCAATCCTCAACCCAAGAGGCGCGCTTTGATGACGATAATCGAAAGCCTGACGGGAGAAATGGTCCACCACCTTGCAACAGCTTTGAGCATGGATTTCAACCAACTGAGGTTGAACTGAAGAACCCAAGCTGTGAAGTCTCGTGAACGCGACTGGGAGCGCCTTCACAGCTACTTTGCATGGTTGCCCAAGCTAGTCATCCAGAAGAACTCGGAACACTACTTGGAAGACTCAACTCAACTAGCTACAATAACTACTATAGATATTACAGTATTGGCGCCTTCCAACTTTGTATCTACTTCTAGAGCTCGTCACCAAATCCGAGCCCGGCAATGCCGCAGCTTCCTACTTGCTGGAAAGCACAGATGCAGCACACGCCATGGCACTGAATCGCCAAGCTACAATGATAGTATCATTGAGCGGTCTCCAGGTCTATACCACCAATGTGCTTGTAGCGGAGCTAACCAAAGTCTTCACTTCTATGGCACAACTACAATAAGCTCAAGCAACGATACAGTCACACATGGGCTCACTACGACTACAATCAATGGTATAGATCTTTGTCACTGTACATTGGCAGTGAGCGACTTCCTCCATTGGACATACATTGATGACTGGACAACTTTGTCAATTTGACAGAAGCAATTTGAACAAAGACTACTAGTAGCTAAGACTAAAATGGTAAAAATTATCCACTTAGCAACTTGTCTATGTACCAACGCTTTCTACATGAAGCAATTGACCACTTCAACTGAAGACCAAATGGATTCTGACCATATTGTTGCTCAGATTCATGGGGAGCAGACAACTGGTCTGCAACCACTGCTCAAAGGCAATGAGCCACTCCTTGATGGC